GATTACTTCATGACTTCAAAAATACAGTGAGTTTTTAGGAAGCAGATATTTAATAATTATTCAGAAAAAAATGACCCATAGTAACATCCTACATTCAGAAAAGAATAATAGATTATTTTCATCTTTTTATGCAAAATTAGAATTAACCTGTAATTAATCGGAGGGATTTAAAAATGTCACTTTTGACAAAATGCACAGAAGTATGAGCAAGATCATAACAAAGTGTGTAGCACTTCTCTTCAAATGCTCAAGTGGATGTTTTAATGTAACCTCAAACTTGGCAGATGTGTCTTTCCTTATCAAATAGATTTCAAGGAAGTGCTATTCTCCTCTATTGATAGATATACAAAACAAGATAAATCTAATTGAGTGATTCTAATGCACGCTTGTCTTAACAAACCCTGTTTTATAGTTCTTTGAGGTAAAGTACTGAGTCCTTTTACATGCATATTTATGGCTATAACCTATAAATGAGTTTGTTTGTATGATTATTCCAGTACCAAATTTAAAGCCAGGCCATCCTAGTTTTGTAACTCAACTTTGTTCCTTACTAGGTTGGGGATTCTGGCAGAGCTAACTCATCCTCCACCAGTGTCATATTAAAGGAAGTTCCATGTAGAAAGCAGATTACACAGTGCAAATCTCCTCAGATAACTCATAGTTTTCTTTCTTTTTCTTTTTTTTCTTCTCTATTTTGAATTGTAGCTTTAGTACAAGTATAAATATACTCCACTCTAAAATAACTACAATACCAACCAGCACTTGCAATGACTCAGTATCCCTCAGTTTATGAATGCTTTCAGGCTTATGATGTTACTTGGTGTGGGGCATCCAGTTCTATTGTCATTACACTGAAGGTTGTTATGGGACTTAAACCATTTTGGTTAGATACCATAGATTACAAAATTAATAAAAGCAATGGCTAGATTGAAGTCTAGATACTCCTAAACTAAGAACTCTGCCGCCTGTCACTCTGTATTGTTCTGGACAGGAGTAGAGGTGGGCCCAGTAGATAAGTAAAGGTCAATTTCATGCTAGGAGGTAAGAGCGAAGTCTAAAGTAAACCAGTGCTCATTTTTATGTGTCAAGATAGATAGCAATTTTTCAACATAATTTGTTTAAAATAATTGCAAATACTCAAGATAGAATTAAGAGTAGAATCACATGTAGGAAAACAATGAACACATATCAAGGGCTTGAGGAAATATTAGAATTAATTGTTTTATGCATGATACCAGAGATTGAGGTATGGACCTTTGCACAGAGCTACACTACCTTTCTTTTTTATTTTTTATTTCATTTTGGATCTCACTAAGTTGCTGTGTTTTCCAGGTTGGAATCAAACATATAATTTTCCTGGCTCAGCTTCCCAAAGTGTCAGTACTACAGGCACGCTTCACCATGCCTGCCTTTGATATAATTTTGGTAGAAAATAGCTAAATAGCAGGTTTATAAATCTTTTATGAGGGGCAAGAATATGTCTCTATTCATTAATAATGAAGTTAATACTTTGTGTTTAAGACATGTTTTTAAAATTTATTTGATTTATTAGTTGAATAGTGTGTGTGTTTTTATAGTTTTAAATACATAAAATTAAATAGAGTAAAATATGTGTTTCCTAAATCTGTCATCCTAGCAATGCAGATACTATACATCAAACTGTTCAAATGGAGAAGCAGAGACAGTAGGAGATGATATATATATATATATATATATATATATATATATATATATATCATACACATAAATACATTTAATATACATATATGTACATTTTAAAAGAATATATAAAATCATCAGTTATCAATGAGTATGTCTGATAAATGCATCACCAGGTGTTTTTTTTCACTGTGTGAACATCATAACATGCATTTACACACATTCACCTGTTATAGCCTACTGTGCAATCAGGCCAACTGGTTATAGCATGGTCTATTGAAGGTAGGGTCATGATGAACAAAACAATAAGATTAAATTAAGAATGAGAGAAATAATGCTGTCAAGTGACATAGTAAGCACAAGATGTAATGGACTTTTGCAGTTGTCATACAGCCTTTTATTTTATAGTAAACTTTTTTTATAAGTAGAAGGGTAGTATACTAAATACATAAACCAGTTGTACAGTGATTTGTTATCATTGTAAGAATAAGGCACTATACACAATTACCTGTGGTATACTTTCATAGGATTGGCAGCACACAAATTTTCTTTATGCGCCACAGACATATGGGTAATGTGTGACACTGCAACAGTATGCTGGCTATGAGGTCACTAGGCGATAGTTAGTTTTTAGCTCCATTATAATCTTCTGGTCCCAGGAATGATGTTATTCCTCTCTCTCTATGTCTCTCTCTCTCTCTCTCTCTCTCTCTCTCTCTCTCTCTCTGTCTCTCTCTCTCTCTGTCTCTCTCTCTGTATCATTATGGGTCCTGGCTGAGGTTGTCAGAAGCCTGTAGCAGAGCTGATCTGGAAAGAAGACCCCCTGCAGGCTCAGATTCAGCATACATCACAAGCACAGGGTACAGCTCTTGTTTTCAGGCAGTCAGAAAGAGAAGAGGAACAGCAGGATGGATCTCCACAGACATACTAGATATGTCTAGCAAGATTAATTTTTTCTCTGAGAGAAACCTGGAAATTTTAGCACTGCTTTGTGACATTCCTGTAAATTGAGTGAGATTCATGCTGAATATCTAGGAAAGTCTCTTTCACTTTCAGTCAACTGATTAGGGACTTTAATTACAGCTGCAAAATACCTTCCTAGCAACACCCAGATCAGAGCTTGAATGACTGGAACCTATAGCAGGACTAATTCCACACAATGAAGCCAACACCTCCCTAAGAGCAAATGTTATCAGTGTTTTAGGTAGCTTGTTTGGTAAAACCTGACAGTTTCTTAACCTCTAGAGATTATAAAACTATTAACATTACTTCGAGGGTGTATACAGTTTCATTTGTCACATTTAAATCTTCTATTTGTTTAGAATTCACTTTTGTGCAAGATATGAAGTATGTAAGTTTACCTTAGTATTTCTCTTAAGTGGCTACAATTTCCCCACATAATTTCTTAAACATTCCATCTTCCCAGTAGTAATTAAATTGCAGTCATTATGAGAAATTTCCTAGATGGGTTTGGGTTAAGCTCTATCCTTTCTCTTCTTTTTTTTCAAATTATCTGTTTATTTTTTGTGCACTCTTATCTCCCTGTACTAATTACTGTTGCTTTTAGTCATATTTTAATATATTGTAAGACTAAGTTCCTCTTCATTCATTTCAAATTTAATTCTTAGGATTTTTTTTCCTACATTGAAATGAGAATGTCTGATTAAAAACAAGTATCTTTCTGATATTTTATAAGAAAGTATTGAATTCATTGCCTTTAAAATTGATAATTTTTCTTTTTGGAAAAATATTATTTTTTTCAAGACTTCATTGTATCATTTACTAGTATTTTATTTATTGCTAAAACTTTTATTGAGACATAATACTGGCACATCTTCCTGGAGTATGTTATGATAGTTTAATATATGTGTACAATGTGTCATAATAAAATCAGGATAATAATTACTTCTATTTCTTAAACAATTAATCATTTCTATGTGTTGGAAATTTCATAATCCTCTATTCATTTTGTGATATATTGTATATTATTTTAAGCAATCTACAATTTTAACTTTACTGTCCTAAAGAAGAAGCAGAAGTAATTTCTCCACTCTGTCCCTTTCTCTCTACCCTCCCCTGACCTTCCTGTGCCTTGTGGACACCATCACTTTGCATTCTTCATGAGGCTGACATCAATTTCCACGTCTGAGTGAGAACTTGTGGTGCTTGTTTGTATGTCACTGAACGTATTGATCTCCAGTTCCATCCACATTGCTGAAAATAACAGAATTTGTTTCCTTTTGTGATTGAGTACTATTCTGTTGTGTTTACATAAGACACTTTCCTTATTAATTCATCCGTTGAAGGACATCTGAGTCGAGTCCACATATTAGCCACTTTGAATAGTGCTGTAATAAACCTAAGATCGTAAGTATCTTTTCAGTAATGATTTCATTTCCTTTTGGTATATTCCCAGTTGTGGATTGTGGGTGTATATGGCAGTTCTATTTTTAGTTTTTGAGAATTGTGGCATCATTTGACTTAGTGGCTGTCCTAATCCATATTCCCAACAGTAACATATAAGAATTTCATTTTCTTTGCATTTTCAATAACATGTTTTTGTCTTCTTGATGATAACCATTCAAACTGAATAGGATGATATATCATTGTGGTACTGACTTACATTTCTCTGGTAAGTAATGATATCAAGCTTTTTTTTTCACATACATTTAGGCCATTTGCCTGTCTTCTTTTGAGATGTGTCTCTGTTTAGGTTAGCCTGAATTAGATTTTTTGTTTTAGTGTTCCACTTTGTGAGGTTCATGTATATTTTGCACCTCAATTTCAGTTCAGATGAGTCGGTGGCAAATATTTTCTCCCAGTCTGAGTTAGCACTTAATTTTATCTCTTTTGCTGCAAAAAAACTTCATCGTTTAATATAATCTCATTGTCTCTTCCCACCAATATCTTGAAATAATTGTCTGTGTTTTCTTATAGTAATTTCATGGTTTCAGATTTAATGTGTATGTTTCTAATCCATTCTGAACTGATTTTTGTATACAGGGAGTTTAAGGAGCCTAGTTTTACTCTTCTGCCTATGTATATTTGATTTTCACAACACCAGTGACTGTCTTCACTGTCCTCACTGTATTTTCCTGGCACCTTTGTCAAAAATCATTTGGCTCAATGAGTGGGGATTAATTTCTGTGTTCTCTATGTGGGTTCATTGGTATACATGTTTGTTTTTATGCTAGTACCACACTGTTTCTATCATAATAGCTTTGTAGTATATTTTGAAATCAGATACTGCTTCAAAGTGTCAGAGTATGCTTCATGTAAATCTTGCATATTGCACGTAAATATACCACTTGAACAATTTTTAAATATTTTTATTGTTTCAGGTATGCATCATTGTAAGAAAGGAACTATTTGCATTAGGTTATGGAATCATTTGTGTATCTTCATGAAAGGTATTGATTTCCGATTATATTCAACAATGTATAGAATTTGCTAGCATTTTAGTTTAATCATGTTATATTTTCATTGTATACAATTATATCAACTCCAGATAATCCTATTATTAAACTTCCAAAATTTTATACTGTTAATTCCTCTTTCTAGATTAACAGAAAGACAAATTGTGGGACTAGAATGCATTTTGTGTCAATGTTGGCTCTGCTAAATATCTTCTTAATTTTCCTCCATTAGGCCTGATATAGGTTTGTGGATATATACATCTACAAGTATGGGTACATTTGCACAAGTGTATGTATATATGTATATACACATATGCACATATACATGTACATATGTATAATTAGGAGATGATTTTTATTTCATACTGTTTATAAAATTCCTTTTACATAATATTTTATAATATTCCTTTTACATAATTATATAACATTTTTATTTTGATATATTTGAATGTCAAAATGTATTAACAGATTTTCTGATATTGAAACTTATGTTGTATTTCATTTTATTTTTTCCTGGATTTGTTATCTACAGGAAAATAAAACTGACAGTCTTGCAACCCAGGAAGCATACGTGTTTTAGCAACAGTAAAGCTAATATCCAAGTCTGAAGACCACTGGATGGGAGGAATTCTCTCTAACACAGGGGAGGGTCAACATTTTTTGTTCTATTCAAACTTTCAACTGAGTAGATGAAATTTCATCCATCTTATGGAGAGCAGCCTTCTTTATTTAGTCTACCAAGTTAAATGTTAACTTCACTCATAAAAGCCTTACAGAAGAACCCCAAATAAACTTTGACCAAATATCTGTACAACCAGTTGACAAAATATTACAAGCCCATATTTGTTTGTTTTTGTTATTATTTTATGAGTAAGAAAAATATTATTGAAAATTATTTTGCTCATTTCTTGATGAGGTCTCAATCTCTTTTCTAATAAAGTGTGAGCTAACCAAACATTGAAGAATATGGCTTTATATGGTTGCCAAATTGTTTGCTTGCCTGGAGTGCCTGCAGACCTTAGGCTGGCCCTGGTCCTGAGCTGTGTGCCTGTGGCTCTCAGCACCTTGAGGGAGTGAGAAATCCTTTTCTTTAGAGGAGAACCACTTGGTATAGAAACCAGGGTTTCTTTCACATGACCTCATTGTGGAACTCAGTGTTAAAACAGCAATAGACATCTCTGAGGCTACTTAATAGCATGGTAGCACGTGAAACATCTCTTTTTGATTGTGGTGTACAAAAATTGTAACATGGTTGCTGATTTTATATGGTGAACCAATATGTGAACCAGTAAGTGAATTCTTATAATTCACTTATGCGTTTGCATAATAATAAGACGGTCCAAAGAGCAGGTTGAATAAGCCACATCCTGACTTAAAAAAAAAAAAAAAAAAAAAAAAAAGTATTCCAGGATGATGTTTTCAGTTGAAATTGCCACTGAAACCTGAATGCATGAGAGATGCATAGGCAAAAGAGGTTTCAGTTCTGGTTCAAAGAAGAATGATCTAAATTTGGTGAAGACTGGTCTTCATAATTATATATTTTTATTTCTTTTAAGAACAATGAGGTATGAGATCCTATTAGAAGATTCAAGAGACATTTTTTTAAAAAATGCCTTTGTCTAAAGAATGTGTAGTTTGATGTGACTATACGGCCAATATGAGGTAGCCAGACTAAAGGACCAAGCAGTGGCTGCGCCAGTGAGGTTTGTATATGAAGAGACAAAATGTGAACCTTGTTTTCTGCCGTTACAAACCCAGCATTGAACAGGTGAGTGATGTAGTTGATGGTTTTTGGAAAAAGTGACAACAGTGATAGGATAGGTGAGGGTTAGAACAGAAGTTTAAAAAGACGTAATATTAAAATGATCCTGACTCCTCATCTGTGTGATTTAAAATAATGTACAAAGCATAAACAAATGGTGGAATAAAAATATGTAACATATAACTGACATGTCACAACTGCTTCCCAAGAGTATGATTTCAAAATTATGCATAAATTCGTTAAACCTAAGTTTTTCCTCACATTTTACATTGTGTTTGCTCTACTGATTCCTTAAGAGCATGATTTATTGCCCAATAGTAGTTTAACTGGCACTCAGAAAAATTTGATTACAGCAATAAGCAGCCGGAAATTCTAGAAGACTGAAGAAACTTTGTGAATGGTAAAGGAGAGGACTGGGAATTTGCAAGTTTCTGGCTTTAAAATCATGGATAGATTCAAATAGCACATCTACAATGCAGATTGACTCTTTTGTTTGTTTGTTTTTCTTGGTATCAGGGATTGAACTCACAACCTCATGTTTGCCAGGTAGGTACTTATACTGCTGAGCTAAATCCCCAGTCCTCAGATTGATTCTTAAACTAAAATGTTTTGGGAAAATAGGTTTCATGGTGGCTAGAAAGTTTTTTTTTTTTTTTTTTTTTTTCTCCTAAGTGTATATGGATTAAGGATTTATTTTTGAAAATAAGACACTCAAATAACTTCTAGAATTTGTACAAATTTCAAATTGAGAATAAAAGCTTTTAATCTAGCAATTACTAGTATTTTTGATGGCAGACACTGTTTATTCTAGGACTCAATGCCTAGTGTTCATTACCAAATTGCATACATGATAGTTTTATTCAAACTATTCCTGGCCATTATTATGCTTGACTTTCCTCAGCCAAGGCCAATGCCAATGATAAAGTTTGGTCAATGACCAAAAAATAAAGATAAGGGAACTAAACGGTTTCACAATTCTAAAGAACTTACTCCTAGTACAGAGTTCTGAAATCTCATTCAACTGATAAAAATTTTGTTCATGCAAATGCACTCCCCAAATCAGTGTCATCCTTTCCCTTGCCATGGTGTATGAACAAATGTAATCCATTCCTTATCCACTAATGTTTTTTGGCCTGAAATTATTTTGTAAAATGCTGGAATTAAAATAAAATGATAATGAAGTCTCTTTTCTTAACCTTATTCCCGATCATGGTACACTCTAAACTGTTGTTAATATTAATAAAAATAAAAGAAGGTATTGAGACAGATTCAGAGTGTAAGTTCTGACCTAGAAAAATGTTTTTCCTTCTCTTTCTTCTTCTCTTATCATCTTCTGTCTTTCTCAGTCCTGATGGATATGAAATACAAAAATTTTAAAATGGCGAAGAGAGTGAGCTTCTCAGTTGTTCAGAGCTGGTGATCTGAGGGTCTTCTGACATAGTCTTTCTTTCCTTTGGGAAAATATCAGCCTGAGGAAGGGTGACCCTGTGCACTTGTTTTAGATGAAGGTAAACAGAAAGTGGTATTACTTGCCTGAATGGAGTAGACTATCCCATGGAGGAAAATAATAGCTGTCTTCTAGTTTTTGTTTTTCTAAAAAGACCAGTGAGGACTTAAAAGGAGAAAGAACTGGAGAGGAGGGTGAAAGATGATTACCTTAAGGATTAGAGCTGTTTCCCTGGTGAAGTCTGCAAATACTGTTTCTAAGCAATGCGTTGAATGTCTCTGGGGTGAAATGAATTACAACTAAAGGATTAGTAGTAAATCTTTACAAGAAAATATCTCTTAGTTATTCATTATGATAGCATGATTTCAGTAACTTAGATAATATTTCATTAATTAAGAATTCTGTAATGCAAATATTATTTTAAAATGTCAGTAGAAATACACCAAATTTTTGAAGCTTCATCATAAAATCAGTTGTTATAAAATGAAATTATGAAAAATTATTGTTTCAAAAAGTAATGAAAATTGCATTATTCTTGATCTCCTTGTTAACTTTATGAATCAAAATGTCTTCAGTGTTCTATAAAAAAATGGTGCTTATGGGCGGTCTCGTTGATGCCCACTACATTCCTATAGGATTCTTGATGGCATTTTTTATTTTAAAAAGTAATCAAAAACACATTGTGAGCTCAAAGACTAGTATATAAGCTTCAGGTTAACACGGTAATGGCTCTGACCCTTAACCCTGATGCAACCGTTCTATCCCAGCAGCTCTTTGTGAAAGGACACCAAATACTGAAGAAATTGGAAAGGTTAACAAAGTTAGCGGACAAAATAAACTTGATACTGAGAATGAACTTTCACATGCAGCAAGAAAATAAACACTGCCCTCTTATGCTGATCATCAAAGGCTGTTTAAGATGCCTATATGCTTCTACGCTAAGTTCATATTCTCTTTTGAGAACTGTTTATACAAAAGGTTACCAAACTGATAGTTGATTACTGCAAGTTTATATCTAATGTATATGGAATAATTTTATAACAGTCCAAGTATCAATACCGCTGGGGAGGCAACAATACTGAAGAACTTTCAATTTCTCAAGTCATTTTTATGATAATCACATGGAACTTGAATTCTTAATCCCCTTAGGTAAGGGGTTGATTTGAGTGAATTATTGCCTTGTGTATTTACCGAATTTGGGTGTAAAATATAAACCGAATTCTTAGCTGCTCTAAAGTAATGTAAACTCCAACTTCTATTATGTGTTTTAGAAGGGAGAATTACATATCGGATTTCTTTTGCAGAAATGGTGAACAAAAGTACTGTAAAGCTTCCTGTGTGCACTTAGAACACAGTGTGAAAAAAGCATAACAACACACACACAGTAAGTATGGCTTTTTTTTCTAGTTTCTGCTTGTCATCTGCAATACTTTCCTTGGCATTTCCTGATAGTCACCCATCACCCTTAAGATACAAAGATGGTTTCTTTGTACAGCACACAAGTGTCTCTTAAAAGAAATATCCTGGGCCAAACCTGGTCAAAGAAGTTTTTATGTTTTATGTTTTTTATTTCTGTAACGAGAAGTACAGGTTAGGGACTCTCTCTCTATATCCCCATATCAAGAAAAATAATGTTTACATGAAAGGAAAAGCCAAGGATAGACAAGAGTGGTCATATCTGGTTTTGTATTTAAAAATCCAACCCTGATGGTTTAAAAAAATAAAACTTTAGGTGGTCTTAATTTTTTTTTTTTAACTCAACAGAGCTCCAGTTGTTACATAACTCATCTTACTAACTTATGGGTAGGCTTTGAAAACCTTCCCCATTTTGCCAGTTTTCTAAAGCACTGGTGGATGTGACTAGTAGTCTCTCAGAAAGCACCGGGACGAACAGGGTATTTGCACACCTGCAAATCTCATTTAATGACTGAAATTAAAAATGCTGCAGAAGTAAAACAAAAAAATATGTATAGTTTAAGTTATTTAGTGACCACAGCTATATAGTGCTATTCAGACTACCAAGAATGTATGCCTATATATTATACATAGATTTGATTGATTAGTATTCCATGTCAAATATTTTGATTTGCTAGAAGAAATGACAAAAATTAATAAGAGAAATGGGTAAGCTTATGGGAAAATACCTATGCATGAATAGTACTAAGAAACAAAGCATAACAATTTTTTAAATTTTAAAATGAAAAAAAGAATAAATATGATAATACCGAATTTCAATAGAAAATAATTGGGGATTAACACTGGTTAATATATTGCATATTATTATCTTCAAAGTAGTGGTTCAGATTACAAGACACATACATGAAAAAATGACCAAACAATTGAACAATGAAAGTCAAGGAATAAATGAAAAGAGACGATTGCACATACATAAAAATAAATGGTTGATTTTTTCTTCCTAAGATCTTGCATTCTGATGCATTATCATGCATACAGAGACAGAAAGTCAACAATCGTGTAAGGTATGCTTTCACTGCTCACCCACTTTTCAGATATGTGATTTAGAAAAATAAAATGCATTGGATTAAATTTTCCCAGGGTGATTCCCATTTTGATGACTTGGTTTCTTGGAATTTTTCTCTTACACAATCATTTTAACTAACTGATAAATTCTCACTTTGAGTATGGCTTCCAATAAGACAACTTTCTGTTGCGCTATACCTGAGAGAAGTTAGGTATTCAGGACTGAAATTAGAGATACTGATACTAAATTGGAGAAGTTGATACTAAACTGGAATTCTCCCCATTCTCTACTTCTGAGTCAATGGCAGAAAAATTGAACCTTAGAAAACTATATATAATTTCAGTCGTCTTTCCTATACTCAACAGTCACTATTAAACTCTTAAATTGATTCAGATGAGGAGGTTAGAGTCATTAGATTCTTATTCTAAGCCATAATATCTACTTTTTTTCTTCTCTTCAGTGCATATGATAACTTCATATTCTGTGCCAGTAACCCTAAAAATAATACATAGAGATATAATACAAAACTCCTTTTAAAGCTGTAGTGCTTTACTAATACATAATAAATCCATTGACTAAAAGGTTTTTTAAATCAAACTTTCCCTAATAGGTTATAATCCACTTTGTTCCTAAACCAATAATGCTCATCTGATTCTTGCCCTTATCAATTAGTATTCAGGTTGTTAACAGGATTATTGAGTTAGTTTCAAAAGCGATACTTTAGGAAGTTATATTTTATGAAACTGTACTGTATTTTACTGTTGGCACAGGAAAAGATTTAAGATTCATAACTATGAAATCGTATTCTCAGGGAACCTTTGGATTCCTGTTACAACACTATTCACAGTACTCCGAATTGGTGTCCATCCACCAATGAAGAAAATGTGATATATATCACATTTTCTTCATATATATATATATTATATATAATATATATATATATATATATAAAATTCTGTCATTTGCAGAAATATGAGTAGGAAGGGCGAGCGTTATGATCAAATAAACTAGGCCCAAAAAGGCAAATATTACACGATTTACTCATATATGGAAACTAAAATTGTTATCATATAATTTGAGAATATCAAAATGATTATTAGAGGCTTGGGAGACCTAAGAAGTGAGGCAAATGGGGAAGAATTGGTCAGTAGGCACAATATAATAGTAAGATAGGAAGAATAACTTTATTATTCCATTGCACAGCAAGGTAACTATAGTTAACAATCAAATATCATATATTCCACGATAGCTAAAAGCGAACATCTTTAGTGTTCCTTTCATGAAGACATGATAAATACTTACAATAATGCATTTGCTAAGTATCCTGGCTTGATCACTTTGCAATGTCTATACTTTTCAACACCCACATAAATTGTACAACTTCTTCTGTGTTATTCAAGTAATTTTTTTTAAAAACTACACCTAAATTGATGTCTTTGATTCTATTGACTTAAGGAGGAAAATGATCTTTGAAGGCCTTACAATCAAGGCCTGCTGGACATTAGAATCCAATGCATTCAGTGTCCTGTTTATATTTTTCCATCTGTAAGTACTTTGCTACTTAACTTTCAGCTTTATTTGAGGGTCAATTGTCAAGTCAGAAAACCTGTGGGCTTTGTATAATGTGAATGTAAGAGGATGGGTACTGAGTTATAGTTAGAGGCTGTAAAGAGCAGAGATTCCCATTGTGAGTGGGTGTGAGAGCGCATCTGCAAGTTATGGTCTTGATTTCTTTCCAGTAATCTGAGTCATCACCCGGACTCCCTGATTATTGACGCCCAACTATGTGAAACACTCCAACAGGAGGGATTCCTTTTAGAACGTATACACACAGCCCAAATTTTCCAATAAAGATTATGTGGTTGGGCTTAAGACTGTTATGAAGACAGATAGAAAAAACCCAAGACTTTTTGTGGCTTTGGGTGTGGTGTTGTGGAGCTGTGGGGCTGTGGATTTGGTGGTAAGGATCTGGGGTGTTAGTTAATGCAGGATGATACTCAAGTTACATCCAGTGTAGTGTACCTCCCTCTCTAATACTTGCCAGTTAATTCTCCTGCTAACCTAACCCAAGTAACCAAGGTAGGTTACTTTGATGAACCAGAAAATCCATTTTTCTGCAGCTCTTCATCCTTCTAATCACCCTCCCAGACTAAAGAAGAGCTGGAGACAGTTGTTGCAGTCAGTTCCATAGGAACTGTAGTGTTGCTCATATTTTCCTTCCAAAAGTTCTACATTCTTTAAAAACAATTGTCACTGAATTTCTGTGGAGGGAAACCTTTTGTTTATTCTTATATTATTGCTTTTGTTTTCCAATTTTTTTGACTTTAAAAATTGGGCTACATTTCACACACCATAAAACTCCACGTTCTAAAGTGTATAATTTAGTGGTTTTTAGTATATTTACAGAATTGTGCAACCCTTGGCACTACCCCATTCCAGATCACGTTGTTCATCACTCCAGAAATAAACCCGTCCCCGTTAGCGGTCATCCTCCTGCTCCAGTCTTCCCAAACACTACTAACAGCCACAAGTCTGTTTTCTTCTGCTATAGATTTGCCTCTTCTGGATGTTTTATGTCATGGTATCACAAAATATTTGTCTGCTTATAATTGGCCTCTTTCACTAGGCATAGTATTTTCAAAGTTCATCCATAGTTAATAATATTATTCTGTCATAGGGATATACCATATTTTATTTACTTTCATCATTTGATGGGCATTTGATCCAGGAAATATTTTCTCTATTCTTTCTTTCTCTTTTTATATATTATGGTTTTTGTTAACTTTATGACTTTTTATAGTTAATTTGATTCCACACTTTCTAAATGAATGCTTCTCAAATACTAATGCATCTTAATTATTAAGTGGGTATACCTCGAAACCATAGTGTACAGTGAAGTAAATTAGAACCACAAGCTTAAATATTACATGATTTTTCATATATGGCATGTTCAGTATTTAAATAAAGTACAAAATGAAAGGTTGCCAATAGGAAATAGAGAAATGGGTCTGTGGCATAAGGAAGGAAGGAGCGATGGAGGGAGAGGAGGAAAGGGGCATTGTTACATGGTTTGTACTTGCATCAGAACCCTACACGGACTGTTCCCATCATATATTACAAACATGTCTAAAATATATGATACATCATGCATATATACATACAAACATACATATGAAGTGGTTCAAGAGATGCCGGGATGGCGAGGAAGGGGAAGGGAGGCGAGGGAGTTAAACTAAAAGAATTAAGAAATTCCATGAACATGTACCAACTCCTCACAACGAATGTAATTATTATGTATTATAAACATGTATCAATTTTAAAAAAGGAAAAGCTCAAAGAGTGCTCTTTCTAAAATGCAGTCTCTGATTTCATCAGTCAAAGCATGCTGCCTATGATCTATATTTCTGGTAAGTTCTATGGTAATTCTGGCATTGCAGAGCTACAGATTGCTCCTGAATATCAAGGATTCTGACCACACCTTCTAGTGAGAAGGCATGTTTTATTGCATGTCAGACACAGCTGTAGATGCTCACATAAATTTTAATTTTATACAAATATTAAATTAATGGCTATTTAATACACTCCAATCTGTTTCAAGTAAAGTACAGTATCTGAGTTTAAAGCAGAGTTTGGTAATCTTGAAGCCTGTGATTTTTGCCTGGTATTCATTTTTATAAATAAAGCCTTATAAGAATGGATCTGCACTCATTCATTCGCGTGTTGTTTCTGGCTGATTTTGACTATAGTAGCAGAATTCATAACTGCTGCAGAAATCTAGGGCTCCAGTTTTGACAGGGACCAGATAGCCCACAAAGCCTATTTCCTATGGATTACAGTAAAAATTTCTTGTTTCCTGCTTTAAAGACATACTACTGTGAAACAATTTAAATGAGTCTGCTTAG